TCTCTCTTAGTGTGTGTGTACCTATCAAGGCTCCCTGTTCTCTCCACCCTACTCTCTTTTTTTTTGGTACCAGGGATTGAACCCAGGGGCGCTCGACCACTGAGCCACATCCCCAGCCCTTTTGTGTGTCTTATTTAGAGACAGGGTCTCCCTGAGTTGCTTAGGGCCTCCCTAAGTTGATGAGGCTGGCTTTGAACTCACGATCCTCCTCCCTCAGCCTCCAAGCTGGGCCACCACCTTTCCTATCTGTCCCCACAGCTATCCTGGCCCCTCCATGCATGGGGGACTCCCAAGAATGTCCTTTAAGTCTCATCCAGGGGGCCAGGGCTCCTGGGCTATAGGTCACATCCCAAGCACTTTCGAAATCTTAATATACTTTTGTATCTGAGAAGGGGAAAAAAAACAGTTGGTAATTTGACTTTCAGGAAGTCAAGGTTCTACAACACCCTGTTTGTGGGTAAGGCTGGGTGACAACTCAGACTTACCACCTGCCAGACCTTAGAGGAGGAAGGTCAGGCAGGGAGGGGTGCTTTTGTAACTTGCAAAAGGAAAAATGTGGTTATTTAAATCAGAAGGGCTGGTTCAGCTGAGGGCTTCCCCATACAGGTGGGGAGGCCCAGTGGGGCTCAGAGAAGTGTGGGTACGGGGAAAGGGGGCTGCTGGGGCCGGGCCAGGGCTAAGTTCAGGTCTCCTGGCTCTGACCTGAGTCCTTGGTGGCTGGACTTTGGAGGCCATGTCTGATGGACTTTAGGATAAAGAAGATTCTGGGGTGGGAAGGGGCCATGGGAGAGGAGGAAAGTCAAGGCAGGTGGATGGAGGAGGCCACCTGCTGCTCTAGGCCTGGGGCCTGGGTCCCTGAGCTGTCTGTCAAAAGTTTCAGATCCGAGTGCAGCCCCCCCAGCCCAGTCACCCCCAGCCCAGGCACCCCCAGCCCTGCCCTCCAGGCCCTTAAATCTCCACAGACACCAGGGAAAGCTTTCAAAGCTGTGGAATCATTCACTGGTCACAGCCCAGCTCCTGGGGACAGGGGGAGAAGTAGGACGCAGCCCCTGCCCAGGACTTGGAAAACTGCCCAAGTTCAGTTTCGAATCCCCCGGAGACAGCCAGTACCAGCCGTGGGACCCTGTGGGGAGCGCTGGGGATTCAGKAGCAGGAGATCTGCATCCCAAACCCCGGCCTCACCTAGGCAAGCTGCATGGCCACAGGCTAGACCACACGCGCCTTCCTTACCTGACCCCAGGACGTGATGTGGCCACGGCGCCAGGCACAGACTCACCCGGAGAGGGTGAGCCCCGAGAGTCTTCATTCTGGTACAACAGCCAAGACCTCGGAAGCTCCTACTCCCTGAGTAACTGGGCCCGTTCCTTCAATATCTCTACTGACTGGGATGGGAGAGTGGGGGGCAGGAAGGGAGAGTGGATGGAAGGAAGGAAGGATAAATGGATGGATGGCTGGGAGACAGGAAGGATAATGGATGGATGGATGGATGGATGGATGGAT